ACCTTTCAAACGATACATCACAAGCCTATAGGTACTTTCCACTGAAAAAATTGAGGGTTGTAACTATCATTCGACAAGGGTTGAAGGTAGGGGTAGCATTTTCCCGTTGAAGTATGTCAAATTATAATTTAAATTTGACGTGTTTCAGAATTTTGTTAAAATATGTACAGTAACCGAAATAATGAATTTATTCAATTTGGCTTTTACACACTGTGGACGAATAATGAGTGAATCAACAATTTCTTTATTACCGTTTGAATCTGTATTTAGATCATATCTAAACTCAGGTAAAAAATTCAGTCATTGAGTAGGTACAAAGCCATATTATACAAATTGGTTATTTGTATGAAGCACTAACTAGGTAGAATCTTGTTAGTATGTGACCACCTGAAGAAGCTATTGTATAGTGAAACACGTGTTGCAATTTTGTAAACAGTTAAGTGAAAAATCTAACAATGAAATGTTTCTCTAACAGACATTCTCACAGGTCACTGTCGTTTGAATCATCATATGCAGAGACTCGGACTGTCGGAAGACAGTGTGTGTCGCCTCTGTTCAGAAAATGATGAAACAGCAGAGCACATACTTTGTGCCTGCCCCGCTGGGGACCGAATCAGGTTTTTAGAGTTCGGCAGAGCCGTACTCTTACGATCTGATCTGAAAAACCACTGACCATACAAACTAATCGGCTTCGTTAAGAAGCTGGGTTTATTTGGTCGAGTGTGAATAGGTGTGAGCCACAATAAACCCTTGCGGGTTGCGGTGGAGCGTCGAATAGACCCACTCACTTTGGACCTAACCTAACTTGACCTACTTAAATATTGATTCAAAGAATTCAATATCATGAAACTTATCATCAAATCATTATTGAATTATTCAAATAAATAATGTAATTATATAGAAGTATATCAACTAAAACCAAAATAATATGCGAGATTATATTACCCGATAACTACTACATTCTCACAAATGTATGAACAGAACATAACTTTATAAGAAAAGGGTCAGCTCATGAACGTTTCACAAATTTTTCTCCACTTCGACGCTATCGTGACTTTTTGAACTTCTCCTGGCTGCCTTGCGAAGACTTTTTGCAACGCTAACTTCGTTTCCTTCGATTATATGCTCATCCACTGCTAAAACCTTTTCCAGATCTTCGGCTAACTCAAACTGAACGAACGCGTATCCTTTGAATTTTTTAGTTTTTTCATCAAAACACAGTCGTATACTTTTAACGCGACCGTATTGGTTGAAATAGTTTCGAAGATGTTCTCTCCTAATTTTCCATATGATCCGGCTAACAAACAACTTGTTTGTATCGGGGTCACAATTTTCAATAGCAGCCAAAAGTTTTCTTCTCGCGTCCATTTTTTGGGACCTACAACCGTATTGCTTTTGATATATCCGAAAAAACTGCAGGCTTCGAAAGACTTATGAACACTGAGACCTCTTCGACAAGCAGGTATCTATTTTCATCTCCACTTATCGAATGATCCCTGAAAGTAAGCGGTAGGAATGTTCATGCCTTATTTATTTATAGTCCGGGAATATTTGTCAAATGAGGGCAAAGATCTCGGAATAGAGGATAGTCAGCTATAAAGTTGTATAAACCTTCATTTTGGCACACTAAAACTTATCTCTAAAACTACTTACCGTAGGGTGTCCGAGACTTCACATATTTCAAAGTCAAAAAAACGATTTTTTACTTTTTTTTTTCATTTAGAATTTTATTTATATATTTATAATGGATATAATTTTAGTTCCAACGAAATCAAATATACATATAACATTAAAAATTGAACAATACCTATCACTAATGAAAGAATAAAATAATTCATTAAAACCAAAAAAAATATCAATTTCAATAAAAATTTAAACGAGAAATTCCGTAAGATTCCAGACGCTGAACTCTACGTAACTCTACGCAACCTTATTTAGATAGGAAAATATCGCTTTTCCTGTAGAACAGCAAATAAGGAACTCGCGTTCCCTGGGGTTTCAATACGTCTTCATTTTGCACGGTCTTGACCGAAGAATCGTCGTACCTAATCCAGCAATTGTAGCCGACGTGGAAGGCATCGGTCACGTAGTGTCCNTCAGCGGCCCCACCAGATGATTGCGAAGTTGAATTGAGATGAGAGCGAGCCAAGGTATCAACACAGGTGAAGTCCCAAACCAAAGGTTTTCCATGTCTCCAAGGAATGAGAGACATTCCATCAGGACGTTTTCCATCATCTCGGCTAATTCCAAGAGGTTCAATCACAGAAGGGATATTGGCTTATTATGAATATTACTTATTCATTACGTTTGATGGTATTTGTGGATATGATAAATATTATAGAGGATTAAATTCTCGACAACTCATGTTTGTTTTTTTATATCTTGAACCATCTTCAAGATAGAGGGGAGAGCGCGCGCAGTGTTTATCTATTTAGAGCAGAGGTTCACAAGGCCGAGGAAGCGGCTGAACTAAGAATTTTAGGACCCAGTGACACCTACGGCCTGAAGAGATGGGAGGGGATTCAATGATGCAGTCTTGCCACGATCACCTTGGGCGACCCTGGGAAGCTGGCGCCGAAGAAATATCTGGCGATGACCAGGAAAAATCACAGCTTAACAGTAGCGTTCCTTACTGGCCACTGTCAATTGAGGAAACACCTCCATAATATAGGCCTAGAGGATACACCTCTGTGTAGGATGTGTGAACAGGAAGATGAAACTATCAGGCATGTCCTATGCGATTGTCTAGAGTTATTGTCAATGAAAGAGTGTGTGTTCGGCGAGTCTTGGCCTACATCTGCCGATATAAAGGAGATGTCTCTTAGTGACCTGTCCACCTTTCTGGAAAGGACAGGATGGACGATGACCTAGGAGGACAACTCCTCGGGTGGATGTATAATAGGTCACATGTGGCTTAAGTACTGTGGGCCTACTCTCACCCTCCCTACTCTATAGATACAGAGAGGTTCCCAAACTTTTTTTCAATATAGACACTTTCAACGTTTCGCTGGTTCCGGTGGATCTCTTGCAGCTATATTTCTATCATAGTCCCAGAATTCGACAAAAAATGTGAAAATTAACTAACTATGGAAATTTGCAATGCGGCTGCGTTACAAACACGAATTAACAGTGTTTTGAATGAATGAAAAGTGAGAATTATTTTAATAAATTAATTGACCGTGATATAAGTGGATGTCAAAAAAGTGAAGTTCGTCAATCAACTTTATTTTATTCAGAAAACTCGCTATTCGGTATGGTAAAAATAAAATATTAGTATTCATATTGGTGGAGAATCAACCAAGTTGCTGCAAGATTCCCTTTGCACGGCGTTTCGGACGGCGGCGGCACTTTGCAAGTCTCGACACGTTGGACTGAATATGAAATTTGTAAGTTCTTACATGTACCAATCCCCGAGCTTCCCAAAATATTATCTGCCTAGATTGATAGGTGAAGTCAAACCGACATTATAGTTCTTCACTATCAAAGCCAGATAAATTTTCGTGGAATCCTGTTTACGAATTGTGAACACCCATTTTTCGGTCACGTCAACGTAGACTCTCGTCGAGTCTCTCGTAGACCCCTGAGGGTCCATCTGGGCCACTTTGGGATTCACTGATTTAGAGTATCATTCGAAGTCAACCTGTAGTCCCCATTTAAAACACGCCCTATAAAGTTGATGAATTATTGATAAATATATTATTTTGAATAATTTGCTAACCAACATGTTAGTCTAGTGTTCATTATCAAGTTCAGACTTGGTTGGGACATGATTTAGAACCCCAGAATTAGGGTTGGAAAATGCGTGTTGAATTCCTGGAACGATGACAATGAATCCACCAGCTCCGGAGGAATCGCTTAACACAAATTCTACAACTGCATCAATGGTTGTGGTTCGCGATGTGGCTGCAGGGAAGCTGGTTGCAGTGCTATGGGCTGCGGCCAGTATAATAGGCAAATTCTTCTCAATGCTTCACCTCAGAGTGATATCATGAAAACGGTACTTATGACCCTGAATTCTTGGAAGAACTGGGGACAAATGTCGTTGAAGACAAGAACACAGAGGAATTTGAAATTTTACAGCGACTAGACGACCATGATGAATATTGAAATAAGAACTTATAGTTCTTATCATTATTCAATTTTTTAAGTTTCAACGTTCATGAATGTATAAAATCGTATTTTTCAATAAAACATTGATAAAAAATTTAAATTCTTTTCCTTTCATTCAGTTAGGAAGTAATTGGTATAAATAACATTAGAATCAAAGAATAATAATCAAAGTATTTCTCTTAATAACTTAATATAAAAAAAAATATTGAAACAAAAGTTGTAGAAGATTCAATTTTCTACAACATTTATAGGGTGAACAAAAAGCATAAAACCTATAGGAAACAAGATATTAGCAATAAATTAGTAAAAAATTGATTTTTGCACCTTTGACCTTGAAATATCTGTTGTCGCGAACACCCTATGATAAGTGGGTTTTATCAAAATAATTTCAGGATGTCAAAATAATGGTTTAACAAGTTTATAGCTGACTATCTCTCATTCCGAGGTGAAACCCCTAACATTCCTGGTGTATTAGTATCGTGTTGAATATGTGATACGCCTTGAATTGGAAAAATATGTACGATATTACTTGAATTGTTCGCAACGAAGATATTTTTCAGGGGATATTAGTTTTTTTATTTTTTTTAAATTTTTATCTCATTTCAAAATGAGTCCTTAACAAAGATGGGTAGATAGTTCATTTACAGAAGCATCCGAATACATAATGGAAGAAGAATCCTCTCGAAATAACTACTTTCACATGCACATTGAATTACACGAAAGAAAATGTAGAAACAACTACTTTTATGTGAACCTTCAATTACACGATAACCTCTTTTTCCATTCGGTTTTTGTACTTCAATTCTGTTACTGAACTGGAACAAATATTTTTAGCAACGCTACATAAGGTGACATATGGAAGAGCATTGTTAAAAAATTCACTGACATGGAAATCCTTGAGGTGTACACAATTTTTTTAAATCAAATCTGGGTAGCTGGTACTTCCCATACAGAGATACACACAAGCATAAAAAAGTTCAAGCGAGAAGTAAGTTAACTGCGAATGTAAACAGACAATTTGAACACAAAAAAACAATTTATTTTCACGAAATACTGGTAAAATATTAAATCATAATCCACCTTATATCATGGTGTGCCATTTTACTTTTTACCAGTATTTAACTCTAGAGCTGAATTATTTTGATTTTTGTATTTGATTCATTCATAATTTGAATTGTTTTTTTTTTGACATTTTCGTAGCATAATCAAGTATGTTGTCTGGTGTAATGATATAGGCTCTGCATAAAAATTATTTTCTGTGGAAGAAAACCTGATTTCCAAAAAAAAGTTAACGGATTACTTCGAAAACAGGTATTGAAGTGGCAAGTTTTCTGGTTCACCCCGAAAGATCCTGTTTAAACAAAATTCACTTTTGTTTAAAAAAATTCTGATTATATGTGAATTTATTCGTGAATTTCTCCATCATATTTTTTTGTAGATCGTGAAAGGTAAAAAATTCAAGA